TTATTTGCGAGAGAGAGAATGAGAGACAGAGAGCATGAGAGGGAGGAGGGTCAGAGGGAGAAGCAGACTCCCTGCTGAGCAGGGAGCCTGATGTGGGACTCGATCCTGGGACTCCAGGATCATGACCTGAGCCGAAGGCAGTCGCTTAACCAACTGAGCCACCCAGGCGCCCTGGTTCAGTATATTCTACCTATTTGCTTAGTTGCATAAAACCTAGATATAATAGTGGGCATTGCTAAATGAAAATAAGTTGCCAGAACTTCATTGTTATAATGAAGAAGAAGGAATTCAAAGGCTTAGCGAGATGACAGTGTTAGGATGGATTTGTCCAGTAAGTTTCACAAAACCACACCTTAACTACATGTCCCCTGAGGGGTCCCAAAAGACACTCCCTTCACCAAAGCTTTAGGAATACATTGCTTCAGAGACCACTTGCATCTTTTAAAAGCAATGTAGTGAGTGATCTCTGTAGGCCTAGGATGCTACCTTCTATTTTCCCCATAATGTTGGAAGTGAAGTTATATACTGAAACTTAACTGGGAATATATAGCAATCAGTTTAGAGAGATTACAGACAGATTATAGTTACTGTGGGAAAAGAGGAAGAGAAATGATCAGAAGTATGTAGATCATGAGAATTATATGAAATAATATAGCAATACTGGGGGCCTGGTTGATGTTGGAAAATATGAATGTTAGTGGCCCCAGTCCACTTGGTTTTGTGTGCATGCGTGTGTGTGTGTGTGCACTCCTAGGAGAAGCCAGCAAGCTAGATACAGGAGTGGAGAATGAGAGTGCTTAGATTTATCTGTGGCTGGTACTTTTGCAAATATGTACTAGGAAATGACAAGAGGATAAAGGAGTTAATGGCATCGAAAGCGTTCAAGTGTTAGGCCATGGGGAGTAGGCTGGAGTAGGCAAGGAGGACTAGGGAGAGAGCTGTCAGGAGGAAGTAGAAGGATTCAAGGATTATAGATCTCCATGAGGCTGAAAATTGAAGATTAGGTGAGATAAGAGAATGACGGAGATTGACTAACCTGTTTCTTTTTCCTTCCTTCCCACAGATAGATTATTTTCCTCTGTCTTTCTTATGAACGTGTGTCTGAGTTCTGTCCAGTGGACTATTGTGCACCCATTTTAGTCCTGGTCCACAGAACCTTCCGTGTGTGACCCACCATGCCCTTCCCTTTCTTCATCAGCCTCGGAAGCCATGAGTTGAAGATGCTGGAGGCACCAGATGGAAGGAACCTGCATCCTTGAATTGCTGCTTGGATGAGAACTGCCTACAAATCAGGGGCACCTGCTTGGGACTTTAATGAGGTAAGAAATAAATTTATATCGTGGTAAGAGGCTGAAATTGTGTGTGGTATCTGCTACAGCAGCCGGTGTTCCCTAACTAATACAGCTGTTTAAACAAGAAAAAAAAGCAGGAGGGAAATTTTTTATTCTCAATTAGGATATTCCAGAGGTGACACAGTTCCTGTTGATAACAAGGTCTGGGGAGTAGTTGTGTGCCTGATGTGGAGAGGAGGTGGATGCCAAGGGAAGAGGTTACAAGTATAGGAAGTTAGAGTGTTGGCTGTCAGCGGAGATATGAATGTTGTCCAAGATGATGACAGGCTCAAGGGAGAAGAGTAGACTATGACTCAGAATAATCTGATATCAGCTAGTACTGATTGGGTGCTGAGCATTTTGTCTTTAATCCTTACAACCACCAGATGTGGTAGGCATTACCATTAGCCTCTTTCATAAATAGGGCACCTAAGCCTTAGAGGGATTGAACTGGAATTCAGTCTATTCAGCTTCAAATGTGCATACTTAAGTATAAAATTAAAGTTTTCCTGAACAATATGGATTTAAACAAAAAAAATCCATCTATGTCATAGACAAAAGCTTTCAAAATATTAGAGCAAAAATCTCAAATATTAATGTCAAGATTCCTAAACAAGGTGCATAGATTAATTTATCTGCAATAATAATGACATTGGTGCAGACCCTAGAGTCTAGTCCATTGTCCTCTCTGATAGCTGCGTTTATGCTATCATCAAGTCTCTTCAGTATTTTACTAACGACTCTTTGTTGAATTTCTTCGAATGACCACATCATTTAGTCATTTGAGCCTCTCTAGAGGGTCAGAGAGAGAATGTGACTTATACCAAGCCCAGGTCGACCAAATCAGGTCCTCTGATCCCAGCCCTGTACTTTTTCTCTTTGTGAGTTAGATTAGAGGTTTCCATTCTTTTTTAAAGCTATGGAAGTTTTTCTCAAAATAAAAATGTGTTTGGAAAACCAGTATAGACAATGGATAGAAACAATTATGTATTATCCTCTATACTTGTTTGCATGCTGATAAGATTTCCTAATAGTAAAAACTGCTCTGCTTGGATGAGCGAGGATGGGACGGATGCCCCCTTCTTCCTACAGCAGTCCCCAGACATACCTCCCCGCTTCGAAACCTCCCACAGTAGAACACATTTGACAGTAAGTGTGGCTTTTAGTTCTCTAGTGAGCAATACAAAGAGGGAAGCATGACTATTTACAAGAGTAATAGAATCAATGCGGTAAAACCGATCCATTGATTAAGAGAAACACTGTAGAAGTCTATTCCAAATATTCTGATTATTAGTCCTCTAGAAATATATATATATATCCTGAAAACTTTATATAAATAAGTAAATGTACATATATAATGTATATATAGAATATTTATTTATTTTTAACCCAAAACAATAGTCTAAAGTGTATATCCCAAAGAAACTATTCTATATACATTATAAGACTGTTGTTCCCAATAACTCCTAAAAGGAGATTATGTACATACCTACCAAATGTAGAATGGATAAATACATTGTGGTGCTTCGAGATGTGGGAATAATATAGAACTGTGAAAGTGAAGAAACTACAGGAACATGAATGAATCTTACATAATATTGATATATATACAATATATTAGAGAGTGTGTGTGTTTAGGAACTGTATTGCTGAGGAAGTATACATAGGTTTAAGACTATAAAGGAAAGCAAGAAAGTGATTATAGTGAGAATTAAGGTGATAGTTACCTTCCAGGGGCAGGGAGAGTATTAAGGAAGGAAGGAAGGGAGGGTCGCTTGGCCTGGATGGGGCTTCACAAGATTGTTCATCTGCCAAACTGCGCTATTTTTGTGCACTTTTCAGAAATTATGCTCTCCAGTTAAAATTTTTTGAACAGCATGTGCATGCGTGAGTGCACACGTACACACACACACACACACACACACACACAACACTATTGCTAAGGAGAGAAATCTTTGGTGGATTTCCCTACAAAAGATGCTGTGCACTGTAATGAATATCAAATACTCATCAATATCACCTTCGTATTAAACATAGCATGTTCTTTTTCAGGACTACTTTTTATACTGGTTCTGCTGGCACCACACCAAAGCATACTCTGGTGGCTTGTTTGGTTTAAGCTAAGATTAAATTCCACAGAACCTAGAGGAAGGGGGTTGCCAGATTAATTCTCTTTAGGAATTATTTCTTTTACTTGAGCTTTTCAAAGGTTTTCTGACAGTGAGTTTAAGATGGGCTTTCCTGACAGGTCGCTGGGATGGGCCTGCTCTCAACTGCTAGGCATGAGAGGATCAGCCCTCTCCTCTGAAAATTGAAACATCATTTAAAAAAAAAAAATCTGCCTGAACGGAAGGCCATTTCCAGTTTTGATTGAAGAGAGCTAGAAAGTCCCTGCAACCAGGGCCAACATTTCATTTGGAAAGTGATTTTGAGTCTACTGCAATTCATAGAAAAATGAAAAGTTGAGACTCTCCAGTTTTTTGCCGTAAAGCATGGCTATGGTTATTTGAGCCTAGACAAAAACACCCATACATGGTCTAGATTTAATAAATTTAGCTTCTTGGGATACTCTTCAAGACAAAATAGGTATGAAATGTCCATTGAGATACATCAATTGCAGCTAATTGCTCTGGGGTTATTGGCTCTGTTAGGCATCTTCCTAAAATAACTTAGTTTTAGCACAGTGGATCCAAAGGCTGTCTTAATGGTGATAATTAAAAATTGGGGTCAGATGTCTATTAAAACCACTGGTAGTTCAGAATGATAAAGTCCTGTCATTGGCATGTAAGAGAACTCTTGACTTTTTGTTTCTTGTTGAAATATATGTGCATCTAGCTCATCCCCAAAAAAGATCAAGTTATTAATGGGCACATTAAAAAGAAGGGGGAACCAGAGCATCTTCCTTTTATCCCATTAAGAATTATCTGATCTGTCAAATGAATTCCCCTTCTCTCTATCAGTCTCAAAGTTGTAGGCTGGTGTAACTTTATTATGCATATCAATAACTAGGAGTATTAACAGACAGTAGTGTGATGAATACATGCAGCTTAGTCCATAACTGAGTCTTACAGAGTTAAAGGCTATTGAAACATCTCTCCATAGGAGCACTCACTGCATGGTATCTCAGGCTTTTGCAGCGATAGCCACACCTAAAGTCACCTCCCGAAAGAGCATGACCCTAGGCCTTCTGCAGTTCTAAGACATCTGCTTCATCTAGGACCACCAGGAACTTTTCTCTGAATCCTTAGTTTCTTCTACTTCTGAATACTCTTTTCTCATCTGTCTACCCCACTTTTTCAAATGGAGCCAATTCTGCCTGTGCCAAACATTGGGAAGAGTCAGGAAAGTGAGACTAGGCAAAAGCCCCTAGTTCCATACTCATCCACATATTTCCCTGCACCCCTATTGAACTGTAGTTCCCAGGTCTCATTTCCCTAAGGGTTTGAGTTTTTGGGCTGTGCTCTAGTTCCTGGCATCTACCTCAGGCCCTCCTTCTTATCATTACTGGTATAGACTCACTTCCCCGGCTTACCAACCCATGGCTTCCCATTCAACTAATTTTTGCACTTCCTCCTGGTCTTGACAGTTGCTCTGTGCTCCTGTGGCCAGTCTGGGCCCTGTGGTGACCCATATCAGCCAGGCCACACTCACCTACCCATCGGGGGAGCGTGATCAACCAACATCTAGGGTAGCACTTATCACTGTTTTAATATTTATAGTGTTTTGTAGCTTTAATAGACCATGCGCTTCCAAGGGCAGGCATTATTATCTTTGATTCTTCTACCACAATTCGTGGCACAGAGGACCAAGCTCATTTTGTAAACAGTCCTGGCCACTTTGGGAAGAGGGCATGAAGTAGTTCGTTTATATTATATTTACACTCTAGTAGTTCACTTACCAGTTGGCAGAGAAGGTCATTTGGGTTGTTATTTCATTCAGTTATTAATACTATGTGCTTATAATGTGCAAGGTATTACAATACAGGAAATACAAAACATGTACAATACAGGAAAATACTTTTTTTTGTCTTGTGGAAGTGAATAATCATTTTTCTATTGACTCCAATCCCAACTGGGCTGAAGAAGAAAAAAGAATGAAAGAAAGTCCTGTATATATGTGTGTTGGTGGGGGAGAGGGGTGGTCTGTGGGCTAGGAGTGTGCTCTCCCTGTCTAGCATTCCTCCTTGAGATCCCTCCCCTCCCCCCAGCTCCTGTCCCTAGTCCCCCAACCCCCAGTCCTCTACTATCAGCCTCCAGCCATCTTTTCCTCAAGTCAGAGGAAACTCAACCTTTAGATGGGAGACTGGAGAAGATCACCTTTAAGTATCCTCCCAACCAGGAGATTTTCTAATTCCATGAGTAAGTAATTTTTGTCTGATTTTCTAGAGCAGCATAAAACTACTGCCCTCCTTTTCAACAGACATTGGTAATAAAGGCTTTTGGTGCTTGGGTAACACTTCCCTTAGAAGTACCTTGTTCTTGGGGCACCTGGGTGGCTCACTCGGTTAAGTATCCAACTCTTGATTTCGGCCCAGGTCATGATCTCAGGGTTGTGAGATCCAGCCCTGTGTCGGGCTCAGCACTAGGCATGGAGCCTGCTTAAGATTCTCTCTCTTCTTCTCCTTCTGCCCCTCCCCCTCTCCCTCTCCCTCTCTCTCTCTCTTAAAAAAAAAAAAAAGAAGTATCTTGTTTTCAAAAGCTGCTGTGTTTGCTGAAAGAGCTACCACATATGAAGCCATGTTCATCTTGGGATAGTGCCTTTGAAACAACAATGCTAAAGGGTTTAGAATACCTGTGCAGTGATTTGACTCTAATCATTATAAGTTACTTACTAGTTATTAGCTTTCCAGCTAGATGATGAGTCTCTTGGGATAAGGGCATGGTGAGAGGGAATTTCAAATTCTCCATCTTGTTTGTTTTTCTATTTTCTGTTCTCAATAGTCAGTGCAATATTTGGCATCCGGGTGGGCACCACACAACCCTTTGCTG